GTGAGGATAGGGCTGAAGGGGCCAGGCCAGGAGCCCCCAGACCCACATTGGGTTAAACAGAGTCCTGTGTGTCACTGGTTTTGCCTCAGTTTTTCCAGCTAACAATGGGACACAGGCCCCTATGTCACAGCTGTCCATAAACATGGGTGCCAGGTGACATCAGGACAACCCCTGAAGGCTAACATTTGATGTGCACATATACTAACCTTTAGGAATCATCTCCATCTTTCTGTGAGTGGAGCTCAGATCATTTCCTGCCCACCAGGGGCTGGGGACAGAGAAGGGCTCATACAGAATCTGGCCTCCCCCCACAGGTTAAATGTGCCTAGAGACAACATCACAGCATAAATTGACCGGGTGAGACAGGCCCAGAACACCAACTGCAGGTTATCCCTGAGGACAAGGCTCTGAACATCACAGCGACCATCCCCGGATACAGACCAGCCTGGCCTCAGCCCCCAGAGCAGGAACAGTTTGGGACCACACTGATTCACTCAATCTGTTGGTGTTTATTGAGCATCTACTGTGTGCCAGACACTCATATAGGTACTACAGACTGAGCAACAAACAAGCTAGACAATGGGGCTTATATCCAAGTGACCATGGGCCTTGGATAATAATCAATCACCACATGCAGAATAAATCCTGGGTGATGGGTGCTGTGGAATAGAGTACAGTCTTTTTCTGTCTTTCTCAATGAAGTATTCACCTCGCCAGCTGGTTCCGAAACCTTTTCCTCCAAGGCCTGGAGTCTGGCTCCAGAGACCCAGTCAGCCCAAGAGCTCCGGCTGCATCCCCATGCCTGACGCCTTGAGGAGGTTTCCGGGCTGGGAGAGAAGCTGGTACCTGGTGTGAACTCACCGTGTGGCACACACACCTCCCTCCCGGCCTGGCTACCAAGGGGGCAATCTGCTTCTGGTGACCTGAGATGATTTGCCCTTCCCTGGCACTTATCGCTTGTTGTAAAGAGACACAACTTTGAGATCTGGAATCTCCCTAGGATGAGAGCCAAACAGCAAGACTCCTGTATCCCCGGGAGACAGCGCACTCCATGTTTCCTGGCCCTGCATGAGAGGAGCAGGGAATGAAAGCCACGGAGAGGAGGCTGGGTGATGAAGCCACCTCCAAGCCTGGTCCTCAGGTACCATGCCACCCTCCATGTTCTCCTGGATGACGCGTACTGAGCTTCACCTAAGTGAGAAATGGACTTCACCGTGAGGCCTCTGACCCAGGGCTCATTCTCCCTGGCCCTCAATAGGGGCAGGTGAGGTGAAGTTGTCAGTGTAAGCCGTGTGCCTCCACGGCACACCCAGCAGCTCCTCNATTCTGTAAATGCAGCCCATCCCTGAGGGTGCAGGGGAAAGGTGAGTCTCCCAGAAAGGGGATTCCATGGACAATAATGTGACCTTCCAATGTCTGTTGTGCCCTTGTCAGGCTGCACTGAAGCTGGGCGGTATGGTGCTGTGCGGGGGCACCCTGATTGACACCACCTGGGTGGTCTCTGCAGCCCACTGTTTCGACAAAATTGAGAGCTGGAAGAACCTGACAGTGGTAGTGGGTAGGTTTTATTCTTATCGCCTCCTGATGAGAGAACAGTTCTTGGGTGATAACAACTCGGGGCTAAGATTCTAGGCATTGAGCCACCAATTTCCACAACTAGATGAACTTCTCCAAAAAAAAAAAAAGAAGTTGGGTATCATCTGGACAAACCCCAATTGCCTACAGGGAGTCACTGTGGCTCCATCCCCTCAGCCTCTTTCCCACCCAAATAAAGACATGGGAAGTGATGTCGTACCCACCTGTCTTGCTTGGGCCCAGAGCTCCAAGGAGGATGCAGCTGCCCAGGGCTCCATGGACCACCATGGATGGGGCTCTGCTTGGTGGATTTATGGGATGACAAGGACCCCCAGAGAGAACCAGGCCCTGTCTGGAAAGAACTGGGAAATCAGGCAGTCCTCCTAACCCACCCACAGCTGCCTGGCCCTGCACCCCTCTTTGCGTGCCTTCAGCACCCCAGGTCCCAGATTCACCCTCAATTCACACTCTGCATGGAGCCCACTGGTGGCCACCTGGGAAAGCTGCTCTGGCCAGCTCGAGGGTGATGTACGGCCCCACCTACCCCAAAAGAGGCTCCTACTCTCTTGAGATTCGGGAAGGGACATTCCCTAAGGCTTCAGGGCTAGGAGCATGAGCAATGTGGGTCTCCCTACAGGTGATCATGACCTGAGTGATGAGGATGGAGATGAGCAGGAGCAGCAAGTCGCTCAGGTCATTGTCCCCAGCAAGTACATCAGAGGCAAGACGGACCATGACATTGCCCTGCTCCGCCTGAGCAGTCCCGTGGCCTTCACAGACTACGTGGTACCACTCTGTCTGCCCGAGAAAGCCTTCTCTGAGAGGACGCTGGCCTTCATCCGCTTCTCGTCCGTCAGCGGCTGGGGCCAGCTCCTCGACAGAGGCGCCACCGCTCTGGAGCTCATGGCCATCGATGTTCCCAGGCTGATGACCCAGGACTGCCTGGAGCAGTCGAAAAGGAAGCAAGGCTCCCCAGAGATCACGGAGAACATGTTCTGTGCTGGCTACCTGGATGGGAGCAAGGATGCCTGCAAGGGGGATAGCGGCGGCCCGCATGCCACCAAGTTCCAGAGCACATGGTACCTGACGGGCATCGTCAGCTGGGGTGAGGGCTGTGCAGCTGAAGGCCACTTTGGGGTGTACACCAGGGTCTCCCATTACACCGAGTGGCTCCACAGGCTTATGAGCTTGAAAACACACTCAGAAGGCCTCTTCCGAGCCCCACTCCCCTAGCACTTCAGTGTCAGCTCCATGGACCTGCCTCTTGTGAAATAAAGCTGCTGCTGCTGCTTGGGCTGTNAAAAAATAATAAAAGTAATTTTAATGCCAATCCAAGTTCATATTCTACCTTTTTCCTCAGCATCATTTCCCAAACACTCCTCCTTACTTCCATATAGCTACCATGCTTATAATTTTAAAGAGTTAAGTCATATCTCATGGTATGGACACATTTACCCGTTCATGTTTTGGCCATGTACATTATTTTATATTGCTATTATGAAAACACATAGATTTCTTCTGGATTACCTTCTAAGAACAGCTGCTCCAGGGAAGGATTACTGGATCAAAGGTTACCAACAAGTTCTAGTTCCAAGTAATATGGAGAAAGCACACTCCACCCTGTCTCTCCCACTAAATGCAGCTACAAAACCTGTATAGAATGCGTGGAGCAACTATTTGAGGACCCTGAAATGTCAATAGCAGCAGTACATTGAAGAAGACTAGAATTAAAATTGCCGTATAATTGTGCTTACCATTTTTTCCCCTCCAGTTCTCCAGACAACACTTGACCTGAATCTAATTGATATTTACAGGATTCTCAACAACACCAGAATATACTCTTTCTAACCACACATGGAACTCTCCACAAGATAGACCATATCCTATGTCATAAAATACACCTTATCAAATTTAAAAGATTGAACTCATACAAAATATTTTATCTGACCATAATGAAATCAACTAAAAAGCAATAACAGGAAAATTTCCAAGTATGTGGAAATTAAACAATATGCTTCTAAATAATCTGTAGGTCAAAGAAGAAGTCTCAACAGGAGTTAGAAAATATTTTCAACTGAACAAAAATGAATATGCAACATATAAAATCTGTGAGATGCAGCTAAAATAGTGCTTAATTGGAAATTTATAGCATTAAATGTTTGCATCAGAAAAGAAGAGATGTCTCAATTGATCATTTAAGCTTCCACATTAAGACACACACACAAAAAAAGCAAAATGAAACCACACACTGTGTTCCTTAAAATAACAGAAATTTATTCTCTCACATTCTGGAGACCAAAAGTTTGACATCCAGATGTACCAGGGTTGGTTTCCTTTAGAAGATCTGAGGGAGATTATGTACTCTGCATGTCTCTGTGTGTCCTTTTCTGTTTATTATAAGCACACTCTCATTGATTTAGGGTCCACCCTAATCTAGTATGATCTCATCTCAATCGTGCTTGAGTTACATTGGCAAAGACCCCATTTCCGATTAAGGTCACTTTCTGAGGGTGCACCTAAATTTAGAGGGGTGAGGAGGGACAATATTCAACCTACTGCAGACAGTAAAAAAAAATTTTTTAAGGCTATGAACATTGTTTAGTGTAATATGGGTTCTTGATGCCCTGTTTTCAGCTAATTACCAATTACCATTTTTAAAATTACCATAATGATTATTCACCAAGCATCCAATCTTTTACTGAATCTTTGACCCAAGTATCTCAACTAAAAACTATTCATTAACCACCAGCTTGGGGTAGCAAACAGAGCAAACCATTTTTGGCGCAATCCATTTCTTGGTGATTAATTTTTAAATAAATTATTAATATTCAACAGAGATGGTGCATTTAAGATGATTAAAGCCAGGGCCGGCCAAGTGGCGCGTTTGTTAAGAGCTGGTTTGGGATGCCAGAGGGCCCCGGTTCGGATCCCGCATATGAGGGCCAGTGACACTGCCCTCCACAGCTAAGTCGCTGAACAACAGCTCAACCTGGAGCTGGGCTGCCGTGAGTCGCCGGTGATGGCAGGTGGGTTGCCATGGCTACCGTGTGTAGCCAGCAGCCAGCGTGAGTGGCCATCCAGAAGCTGGCAACTGATCTGCCTCGCCCGGGAAGAGCGCAATGATGGTGCCAGCTTGGGCCAGAGAAGCAACGTCCTCCACAACTAGACTGAAGAACAAAAGGATAGCAACTTGTCTGTTCCCCTTCCCCCAATTCCCCAATAATAAAAAAAAAAAAAGATGATTAAAGCCAGGAAAGATGCAGAAAATCTGAAGAAAATGCCCTTTTATGTTGAATAGTTCTAGAGGAATTTGTTCCAGAAAATGAGCTCTGTTTGGGAAATAGCCTCTTCAGGTTGGGTTAGTAGGTTATGGTTGTTACTGGTGTAAAATCTTAATGCATTTTAAAATCTTTTTTCCCTTTTAGAATGAATTCTGGAATAAATACAAAGGTGAGATGTTTTCTATTTTAATCTTAAGTGAGAGGTATTCATCATTAGGATATTTAAATTGGGAGAAATTGTATTTGAAATTTGAAAATGCTTCTTGAATATCCTTTCTGCCCCTGTTTAAATCTTATTTAACACTTCTCCCCTTTGAGTGTTTTCATAGCAGTTATTGTAAAATAGATTTTATAACTGTATTAATTCTGGTTTTGTTACTTACTTAAATATAGATTTAAATCAGTTCATTCTCATTTGAGGATACCAAATTTGATGATAATTTTTTAATCCAAATGTATTAATTAGAAACAAAATATAGAGTCTGAAAGATTGGGTCCTCTAAAAAGGTAACCACCTTGATTTAATGCTTATAGCATCTGAAATGGTATCAATCATCACTTATGTTTATATTCTAGTAACAGTATTCAGATTTCTCACAATTGAACTTATTTCTAAATTGGATTGTGCAAATGCATCAAGAGATGTGAGGTCCCATGTTAGTGATAGACAGTAGTCTCTGAATTCTCATTTCTCACCCAGAGCATTTGGAAAGTGGAACCCTAACATCCCCCTTGTCAATGCTCAGCCCAGAAATAAGTGTCAGGCAAGCACCTGTCCTCTGTCCTTCCAGCTGATCCCACGTGGTCACCAGCCCAGAGCTCCTCACTTTGATGTTAAGACACCATTAAACATTTCAGCAAAACTTGGAAAGGTCAGTCAATGACCCAGTTAGATAAGGGCATCACGTACACATAGCCACAAAAAGTGGGAATAAAATGAAGTTCAGGTAGGAGGAATTGTTTACAGGGAAACAGGAAGAATGCCAAGTTCACTCAAGTTATCTGAAAAATATGTGCCAAGATCAACACCGCAGTTATTTTCCTGATGATGGAAATTGCCCGCAAGCTTTGGTTTCCAAATCCTTTCTTTGCAGATGGCGACCAGTGTGAAAGCGATCCTTGCCAGAATCAGGGCATGTGTAAAGACGGCCTCGGGGAATACACATGCACCTGTTCGGAAGGATATGAAGGCAAAAACTGTGAATTACGTGAGTTCCTCTTTTGGTGTACTTTCAAGTCAGGGTTATCTGAAGAATCAAAGGTGGGAAAGAGAGAAGCTAAAATGCCCAAGGAAACAATCTCACATCACTTCTGGCTTAGACTCTGGACTCCATTTTGAGGTACCACTGTAGTAAGAGGAAAAAAAAAATCAGTCAAAGTCTAAATGTGTCCTAAAATCCACTCAGTTTTGGAGTACAATGAGACACTCAGTCACTCCTCTGTTCTTCTGAGAGAGGCTACGGAACATTAGTGAAGCGTGTGGCCCATTAACCTAGAAACGAGAACAGACTTTCTTCTTGGAGTAGAATGTACCCCCTCACATCTGTTACTTACATTCTTTGTGGTCCTGAGTAATGGTTCTAAATCACCACCTTTCATTTATGTGTGTTAGTGCAAATGTCCATACTAAATGTCCAGGATTGTTCAACTATAAACATTTGATAACATTTAATTCTGCATAGAAAGGTCACTAAAACTTTTCCTAATACGATGATTAATTTTTAAATAAAAATTAGGTTAGTATTAGACCAGTTTTTCTTAAAGAGAAAGATTTGCATTTCTTTTTATAATTTATAATCTTTAGAATGTGCTCTTGGATGGGATTGCTTTGGAATTTTCCCTGACGGGAATTTCAATTATGTACCATCCATCCCAAGTTCAGAGCTGCCACCCCTGCTCGCCTTTCGGCTGACCCCAGAGCCACCGTGAATGTTTTCTAAAGTTCCATCAGTGTTGATCTTTGCATTGTAATTATTTTTCCATCAAAATCCAAATGTGGAGTGTAAATTAAATTGCCAATATGGCATCACTGATGTGAATTTGGAGTTTGATGTTCAGTGTACACTGGAAGCAGGTGGGTGATTCTGGCTTAGTCAGACCTGCTGAACAGTGAGGGATGCTCTCAGCCAGGCCTTGAGGACTGGAAATCTGACCTTGGCCAAGGAAGCACTACGTCTAGAGCTTCACATGACCTGTGAGGTTATCCTGTCAGGTGGTATGACCTCCACCACTTTACAAATGAAGAAACTGAGGCCCATGGGTTGCAATAACTTGCCCAAATCACACAAGTGATGGAAGGGCCAGTTTGAAATGTGGGTTGGCCTGACCCCAGGATGTATGCTGCCTGTTTCTCCTTCCTGCTACACTGGAGCCCGGACTCCATTCTCCAAGTCCCTTATTCCACATGGACTCCTGTAGCCTCAGAGCGGACAGGTATCCGGCACTCTGCCAAGCTCTGCCTGAGAAACTGGCCCCAGAGCCCACCCTCCTGCAGGAGGCCCAGCCATGGTGGTCAACACCCATGTGCCTTTTTAGAGCTGAATTTGAGACCCTCCGTGTCTCCAGGGCCCCACTGGGCATGCTCAGGTTACTTGAGGACCTTCTGGAAGTCTGGCGCCTAGGGCCTGTCAGACACTCAGCTCTCACCCAGTGGATGCCATTGTTTCTCCATGCTGCCTGGGGAGGCAATAGGGCAGTGAGAAGAGCACACATGGAGGCAGGACCCCCTCACCCCTCTGGCCTGCTCTGGGCAGCCTGTCCTATTTGCACTGGGACCAGCTTATATGCATCAGCCACCTGGCTCTGGCCCTTTGCCCTAGCCAGGTGGCCCGCTGTGGGGCTGACTAGTGGGTGTACGTTCCCCTGGTGTTGCTATCCTTCCTCCTGGCGAGCTGCAGCCTCAGTTTCCCTAGCCTGTCCTGAGAGCCAACATGCCTCTTCCACAGTCACACGGAAATTCTGCAGCCTGGACAATGGGGACTGCGACCAGTTCTGCAGTGAGGAGAGGAACTCTGTGGTGTGTTCCTGTGCCAGTGGGTACATCCTGGGTGACAACGGCAAGTCCTGCATCTCCACAGGTAGGAGGAACATGGGGACACCCCAGCAGGTTCTCTGAGCCAGAGAGGCCAGCCGTTTCCAGGCCAGTGAGGCATATGCCAGTGCTGGTGAGAGGGACAGCTGGAGCATTCTAGTTGGGCCATGAGTTTTGGAAACAGACCCACTGTTTCTGTTAGCCATCTGAAAAATGGGACCCACAGCGTTACCTAACTGCTTAGTGACTGTGAAAATGTAAGGGGGTAATTCATAGAGGCCACTTTGCACAGTGCCTGGCTCATAGCAAACCCTAAGCAACTATGTAATGAGTGACGGGAAGGCGTGTTTCGTTTCCTGGGAAAGGCGGAGAGCTTGGGAGGCTAGGAGTCACAGTGGACTAAGGCAAGAGTGCAGGCCGGTAAGGGGCAGTGCAGGCCTGACTGTTGGAGCCGTGGAGTTTGGGATAAGTTGCAGGGGCCAGAAGGGGAACCAAGGACCCTCAAGAACTGATTTAGGTTGTGTGGGCCTCAATGTTAATCAAATTTATTTTTTCTTTTCCTTGATAAAAGCCAGATGCCATGAGTGTGGCCTAGAAGCTCACAGAGGGCATGACCTACCAAGGGGCTGAGGGCATGACCTACCAAGGGGCTGAGTGACAGACCAGGTCCCTGGCATAGGAAAGTCCTGGTCTCACTCTGTAGAAAGTTCCTCCCATGCTGCAAAGCTGACCTCTGGCCAGAAGTTCTGAGAGGCCACTCCTTTTTTTTGCACTCCAGGAGGTGGAAACATTCAAGGATGACTGCAATTATGTAACATCAGCACTCTCAACTAGTAAAAAACTCTGACAGTCACTTACATTTCTATTGGTAATGAGACTTGAAACTGAAGCTGGTCTAAAAATGGGGGGTAGACTCATGACATGCATGCAAATATTTTTTAATTCCAGGAATAATCAGGAATCAATTTAAAATACAGTTCGATGTTTGAAAATACTACTTCCTAATTCAGAATGTAAAAGGGCAGTGATTACAAATCTTAACACAGAGCTAGCAAACCTAGGGTGAAGGAGTCTTTATCTCCAGCTAACACATTCACCAAGAGTCTACTGGGGTGGGAGGAGGAAGGGGCTGTCCTTGAGGTCCTACAGGAGCACACGCAGCACTAAAACAAACTAAGTTTTGCTTATCTGTCCTTAGACAAACACAAGGCAGCAGAGAGAAGCCATCCATTTTCAGACCTGCTGTTTTTTCCTGTCTCTCAACTCTTAGGCCCTCCACACCTCTCCCTACCTCTGTCCTGCTTTGCCCCCTTTCTGCCTCAGTTCCCTAGGTGATGATAATACAGAAAGGAAGCTTTCTCATGTTTACTGACACCTCCCCTGTGCTTGGTGCTTTTAAGGATAGCTATCATTTTTTAGACATTATCATTCAAAGCCATGTCACAGTAATCCTTATTATGCCTCAGATTGTTTCCACATGTTGTCTCTTTTGCCTGGAACACTTTTTTGTTTGTTTCAAAATTTTATTAAGAAATGTTTCAAATACACAGCAGTGTTGACAGGTTTTGACAGTGAGTGCCCATCTGCGCCCACCTGGGTTCTACCATTAACATCTCACTGTACTTGCTTCATCACCTGTCTACCCCATATTTGTCCTCTGTCCATCCACAAGCCACGGTGTTATTTTGATGCATTTCCTACTAGATTGCAGATATGCCCTTCGTGGCTTCAGCCCCACACGTCAGTGCCCACACCACAGTGATTTCGGTAGAATTCATCCACAGTGGGGTGCACCGATATGAAGCGCATGCTCCCTGCATTGTGACAATTGCATCCACCTTACAGCCCAACCCCCATCAAGACATTGAGCACTTCGCACCCCAAAAGTTCCTCACTCCCTTTCCCAATTACCAAGCACACTTTTCACTCGTCCTCACCTGCATTTTTCAGGGCTGTCTCACCCCATTACTGTGAGGGCTAGACCCTCTCTCTGGCCTCCCCGACTGGCTCATGCCATTGTTTTGTTTTGTATTGTTTTGTTTTGTTTTCTCTTTCAGAGTCTTTTCCTTGTGGGAAACTCACTCAGGGACGTTGGAAGAGGTCAGTGGCTCAGGACTCCCCTGAGACCATCATGCTGGAGGAGTATGACACTGAAGACCTGATTCCCACTGAGAGCCCTTTCCATCTACTGAACATCAACAATACAGAGGGGAGCCCTGAAGAGGATGACAGCAGCGTCATACGGATAGTAGGCGGGAGGGACTGCAAAGACGGCGAGTGTCCCTGGCAGGTAACTGCTGAGCACTTAGTGAGTTACCTGGATGGAGGACCCATCTTTGCAGGCCACTGCCAGCACAGCCATCGAGGCCAAGGCCTGTGCTACCCCAGCACACCTGTGGCCCCTCAGCAGGCTTTGAGCTCCAGTGCTGAAGGAGCCTGAGATGAGAAGAGGCTGGTCCTTCATCCCCCACCCCCATCCCTCACCACCCATTCCTATCTGTGTGCAGAGGGTTTGAGTCCTAAAACCTCCACCTACAGTAGAAGGAGAGATGAGGCACCAGTTCAGGCTGCAGGTTCGGGTCAGCAGGTAGAGGACCTCTACCCAGGTGGTGAAGAGCAATCAAAGAGGCCTTTGATTGCTCTTCTGTTTGGCTGGAGGCAGAAGGATTCACTGTCCTTGTTTCATTTCTACTTTGGTAAATTTTTTTATGCAAACACCTAAATTCTAATGAGGCAGACAGTACCTTAGAGAAAAGCACATCCATTAGTTTTCAAAGGTAAAGAAACAAACAAACAAAAAAATCACTCTTTCATTGTTGATTTCTACTACAGTTACCAGATTTAGCAAATAGAAACACAGGACATACACTTAAATTTGAATTTCAGATAAATAATGAATATTTTTTTTTAAAGATTTTTATTGGGGAATTGCAACAGCGCTGGGGAATTGGGAGAAGGGGAACAGACAAGTCGCTGTCATTCTGTTCCTCAGTCTAGTTGTGGAGGACGTCGCCTCACTGGCCCAAGTTGACACCATCATTGCGCTCTTCCCTGGGAGAGGCAGATCAGTCGCCAGCTTCTGGATGGCCGCTCATGGCAGCTGCTGGCCGCTCACACTGGCTGCCAGTCACACACGGTAGCCCATGGCAACCCACTGCAGCAGAGGCTGCAGCCTACCTCGTCGCTGGTGACTCATGGCAGCCCAGCTCCAGGTTGAGCTGTTGTTCAGCATCTTAGCTGTAGAGGGCAGTGTCACTGGCCCTCATATGTGGGATCTGAACCGGGGCCCTCTGGCGTCCCAAGCTCTTAACCAATGCGCCACTCAGCCGGCCCCAATAATGAATAATTTTTAATGAAAGTATATCCCAGATATTACATGGGACGTACTTAAACTAAAATTTATTTGCTATTTATTTGATTCAAATTTAAATGGATGTCTTCTATTTTATCTGGCCAGCCTAACTTGGACTTTTTAAGTTTTTAGTGTCCAAAGCCAAAACAGCTTCTCCTAGAAGCAAAAATCCCAGAGCTGCCACAACCTTTAGAAATTACCTCAGCTCACCTTTCACCTCCAAGCTACAGGACAGGTATGCATTTGTTTGAATCATCAAGAGCCCAAGGGAAGGACATTTCAACATCTAGTCATCATTCATCCAACACATATTTATGGAAAACTTGTTGTATTCAGGCACAGAATTGGAGGTTGTGTGTGTAGACTATGAAATCATCAGAGCTACTTCTTTGACATCTAGAGATCTAGATCTAGAAAGGGAAGTGAGATGCACCCAAATGACCACAATTCAAGTTGATATATGATAAAGGTCACAGAAGTGGTGCTGGTAGGATTATAATGAAATTCCACTGGGATGAATAGGAAGCTCCCACAGGGCAGGGGTGTCTGATTGAAACTCTGCTAGTGGCTTTAGATGGAGCTCCACAGGAGGAGAGGACAGGGAAGGGCATTCGGGCAGAAAGTTCCTCTAACGGGTCCCTCAGCAAGTCTGTTGGGATTTGTGATTCTTGTTTTCCTGGTCCCGGTCTTAGCAGGTTGCCTCATCTCCATTTTAGGAAGAACAGATGGTGTCCAAGTCTTAGAAACATGGACTCTCCCTCACTCTTCAGCCAAGTTGGATTATGAGTAGATAAATTATGCAAAAAAAACCACAAAAAAGCATTACTAGAGACAGTCCCCAATTTACAGTGCTTCAACATACCATGGTGCAAAAGTGATACACATTGATTTTTTCTGGGCTAACGACATGTGGTAAAATACTCTCTCGTGATGCTGGGCAGCAGGAGTGAGCTGCAACCCCCAGTCAGCCATGTGATCAGGGAGGTAAATAACCGATACTCTACCGTGAACTGTGTTGCCAGTGTTTTTGGTTATTGTGCTCTGAGCATGTTTAAGGTCTGCTAGGCTAAGCTATGATGTTCGGTAGGTTAGGTATACAAAATGCATTTTCGACTTAGGATATTGTCAACTTACGATGGGTTTATTGGGACATAACCCCATCGTGAGCCAAGAACTATATGTACCACATACTAGTCAGAAACATCTTCAAGGGTTCTTTTAGAACTTGACATTAATTGTTTCATTAACCTACACATATCCTTAGCCAATAACTGTTGCTTAGAGGATGCAGAATTTCCTAGAGAAAAGGAAAAACAAAAAATACTCCATCTCTGGATTTGCAAGCCTGGGTCTTTGGGGAGGAAAGAAAATAAGAGAATTGTCTATGGTGTCTCTCACTTGCCCCATCAATGCTCATTCCCAGGTTGAATACTCCTCACTCCCAAATCCCAGATCGGGGTAGAAATCCCTTCTAGGAGTAGCCACATGGATTACAAAGAAATTCACTTTGATGGTGGCATTCCATAGGCCTGAATAGTTTAACTGTTCTAGAGACCAGAAGTCAGGCCACCTAAGGCAAACATTTTCTCCAAAGACTGGCTTCTGCCTAGTCTGGGGTATAATTCATAACCACATAGACAATACAGGTTTTTACCACAGTGAAAATTGCTTTTCTGTGCATAACACTTTAGAGAGTGCTATGACAGATCCAGAAGAAATAAAAGACTAACCTCTGTCATTCCTTATCCTGAGTTTGTAGTCCAGGTGGATAAAGGGATAGGTAAATTGTGACAGAGCCCTACTCAATAGATAACTCTTGGTACTTAGTAAGGCCTCAACTCTCTGTGGAGCAAATGAATAAGTCAATTCATTGGCTGGTACATGAAGCAAAGACCTGAAGGCGTGAGGTGCTTCCCAAACCTGTGCTGCGGAATTGGGGGGTGGGGAGGATCTGGGAAGGTGCTGTGGGGTCGACCATGAGCTGCCTCTTGGAGAATGTGCCAGGGTGCCAGACTGAATGGTCAGTGGGACACACAGGAACAGGCATGGTGACCAGCTGTCAGGAGTTCTGCAGGACTGGCCACATTGGACCGAAGCCATGTGGTCAGATGGGCACTGTGGGTGTGCTGGTTTGGGCTTTCCATTTCAGTTTAAAGATGCCAGAAGTTCTCTTGGAGGAAAAGGCAGCAGAGTGGGGAGGACGGGAACAGAGGAAGGCTCAGCTGGGCACACCAGCTTCAGGATGGGGAGGCCCTGGTCCAAATCGGGGTAATGGGAAGGAAGGTTTGAATTTAAGATTCCAAATTTCCCTTTTCGGAAAGTCAGACTGAATGTATTTGGCTCTGGCATTCTCGTGGCAGGCTCTGCTCATCAATGAGGAGAATGAGGGCTTCTGCGGAGGCACTATCCTGAATCAGTTCTACATCCTCACTGCGGCTCACTGTCTGCAACAAGCCAAGAGATTCAAGGTGAGGGTAGGTAAGTGATACCACACCCCTCAGCTGCTCTGCAGGGCCCACTGTCACGTCCTTATTTTCAGAGATCACTGGAATGGATCCAATTTGCTGGAAACACTGGATAAAATACGAGAATCCAGGGTGGGGGCTGGGAGGAGTTTCACAGAGGAGGAGAAGGAGGAAAAGGGGGGGCAGGAGAAGGAGGAGGGGAACAAGGAGAAAGAGAAGGGTGAAGATTAAAGGGAGGAGCATGAGGGGGTTGGGGAGGAGAAGGAGGAGGGGTAAGAGGACAGGATGGCCTTCCCTGAGCTGGCCCAGCCCTCCTCCCACGTGGCCCTTCCTGAGGCTCTTGGTGCTCATGCCCAGCATGAGGTGCTTACTCTCAGTGGCCTTTCCTCTGGGAAGGCTTCCAGAGCACCACCCCCGCCCCTGGCCAACCCCCCCTGCCCCCGCCAGCCCCCCCCTTCAACAGTCTGAGCACTGAGTCCCTTTGCCTCTCGTATTTTTGTCCATGGGATTATTTCGTAATGTCTGTCCTTCTCTATCAGACTCTAGAACTGTCCCATGAAAATCCAATGCAAGTCACAAATGTGAGCCACATATGTCATTTTAATTTTCTAGTTACATAAAATTTTCTATTATACATTTTAAAGATTAACAGGTGAAATTTATTTTAGTAATGCATCTTATTTAACCCAGTATACCCCAAATATTATCATTTTTATGTGTGATCAATTTTAAAACTATTTATGAGCTATTTTGAATACTTTTTTCATTCTAAGTCTGAACTTTGACACAGCACGTGTCAGTTCAGGCTGGCTATATTTCAAGTGCCCAGTTGCCCCTGTGGCTGGTGGCGGCCCTCTGGAGGGCGCAGATCTAGAACGTAAGACCTTCAGCTCCCTGATACCCCCGGCACACGGTACACAGAAAATGCCTGTCCTTGAATGAATGAACTGAAAGTCCCTGGGGTACTGAACAAACATAGGAAAATGTGACTAATGGTTGTCTTTGGGTAGTGAAATTGAAAGTCATTTTTATTCGCCTCTTTATGCGTTTCTATATTTTTAAAATTTCCTAGTGACCATATACCATTTTTTAATCAGAAAAAAAAAATGAACTACTTTTCAAAAGCAACCCACGTGTGAATGCATGGCCCAAACTGTGCTCTCCCCATATTCTAGGTGATCGGAACACGGAAACGGAAGAAGGCAACGAGGTGGAGCACGAGGTGGAGGTGATCATAAAGCACCACAAGTTTGTCAGGGAGACCTATGACTTTGACATTGCTGTCCTCAAGCTGAAGACGCCCATTGAGTTCCGCATGAACGTGGCCCCAGCCTGCCTGCCGGAGAAGGACTGGGCGGAGTCGGCGCTTATGACGCAGAAATCGGGCATCGTGAGCGGCTTCGGGCGCACCCATGAGAAGGGCCGCATGTCCACCACTCTCAAGATGCTGGAGGTGCCCTACGTGGACAGGAACACGTGCAAGCTGTCCAGCAAATTCACCATCACCACAAACATGTTCTGTGCTGGCTATGACTCCAAGCCTGAGGATGCCTGTCAGGGGGACAGTGGGGGCCCTCATGTCACCCGGTTCCAGGGCACCTATTTTGTCACCGGCATTGTCAGCTGGGGTGAAGGATGTGCACAGAAAGGGAAGTATGGAGTCTACACCAAAGTCACCAACTTCCTCAGGTGGATCGATAGGTCCATGAAAGCCAAGGCCAGGGCCCAGGGTGAGCGAAAGGTCCCTACTCTTCCCCCGACATTAAAGTGATTGTCCTAACACTTGCCGTTCTGAACAGGCTGAATCCTGGAATAGGTTTCCTATCTGCAATGATTAATGTCAGTGCCTTATCCTGATTTTGTTCTTGCTCTATTGTAGTGGGACATGAAAGTTTCATTTGGAACTCTAGATCCTGCCTGTGCCTCTCCAGGTTTGGAGGTTGCTTCAGGAAATGTGGTATTTTAGAGGACAGGGGTCTAAACTCTCCAGGACGACTCCTCTGCTCAAAACCGTGAGGAGGCTGTTTCCACTCATAGTATGTTTTTCCATTTCTGATGTAACTAAACTGACTTCTTGGTCGGTCATGCTCAAAAGACTGGAGAATAAATAAGCAAGGTCCTGGGAGCACAGACAGAAGGAGGTAGCAGGGGTCAGGGCCAGCCCATAACTGGATGGCCTCACCTTGGGGTCGGGGTGGGGGTTCCCCACATGTGCCGGCATAGGCTCCCCCAGGCCCCTCATTTACCTTCCAGGACTGAGACAAAGGTGAACTGTGTCCTCCAGGAGCCTCCTGTGAGAGTCAGGCTCCCTGGGAAGGGAAGGCCATGAGAGCTCTCATTGGCAGGGGCATTTTAACATTGACTTAACCACTGGTTCTTCTTTCTGGTTTCATGCTAGAATCACCTGAGGTACTTTTAAAGAGTGCCCAAGCCCCGGCCCACCCTGACACAGTCTCCTGAGCAGCTTACATGCCCACCAGGTGCCACCTGTTCCCAGACCAGGGGACTCTGGGATCCTTCATCCAGGCCACAGCCCAGAACGCTTAAACCAGAGCCTGTGGGGTGGGCACATGCCTCGGAAGTTTTTACAGCTCCTCAGGTGACCCCCAAGTGTGTGATGTGTGCTGGCAGGGGCTACAGGAGGGATACCCTCTCCTCGACTGGGTCATGTCTAAATGCCAAGTCCTTCACCGTCGCTGTCCACACTGATTCCAGGCCCTCCACTTAAATGGTCATGAAAACCAAATATGCTTTTAGAAAAATGGAAAAGGTGACCTCAGACCAGACCTACCAGTGTATTTTCCAAATGTCCCTATACAGTTTGCATTTTGCGTAACTTCGCTAAACAAAGTTTCAAAGTCCCACTACAAAAACTCCCCAAAATGTCAGTAGCTTTTTTCTTTTCTTTCTTTCTTTTTTTTTTTTTTTTTGTAAACTGGAGATATTGCAAGGTTAGAGTGCTTTGTAAACAAGAAACATTTCAAAGTTAGAAAAATCAATGTGGACAAGTACACAGTTTCCCAGAAACACTCTGAGGAGAGCGGGAACAGCCGAGGGTGATGATTCTCTGCTTGCTGCCTTGGCTCCTGCTAAAAGTGAGCCACTGCCGAGTGAGCACCTGGGGAAAAGGCCTCAGACAGCAGGAGACCACCGTGTTGTCGGGCTGAGGGTTTTCTATGCAGCTGAGCGGTCTCCATCCAGAGGCAAACCGCAAACTTGGATTCTTATTTCTGGAGATGAAAGGTTGTTTCGGGCCCAGAGAGAACTCAGGGGAAGATTCACAAATAAAACATACCTTCGCTGTTACTACTTGATCTCACTGTTGGCCACTATTATTGGCGATAGAGTTCATATATCAGAGAAGAAGGGAAACTGAGGTAGAGCAGAGGAAGAGGCTCCGTTGTTTCCATGGGGCTGCTTATCTTCCTCATCCAGAAACAGACTTCAATTCAGCGAGGCTCTAGAGGAAATAAGGCGAAGAGATGCAGCTGGGTGCCGTAGGTAGGGCCCTGGCCTGGGACTCACGGATGAGGTAACCCAGTTCTGCTCGTTCTGTGTGCCCAGGGACAACTTACCTCCCCCTCTGAGTATCACTGTCTTCATGGCAAAATGGAGCTAATGGAGCTACCTCTTCTACATGTCAGCCCTAAACATGGTGCAAGGCTTGTGCGTGAGGGGACATTCCCTTACTTGCTATCACCAGAGCTTCCCTCAGGGGCTGCTTGGTGTAGAAAGTGAGGCCTTGAGGGCATGGAGATCAGCAGGAAGCCAAGGGTGAGGAACCAAGAAGGGGGAGAACGTAACGGTTGATGTTTTTTCTCCTGAGAGTGAGGGAGAAGTTACAATACTACAATAAAACCATCTCCTCCTCAGCCACTGCCAATCCTCCCCATCCCCTCACCCCCCCCCACTCCACACACACACACACACACACACACACACACACACACACACACACGCATGCTCAGTTCCCGAGGGCAGAAGAATGAATGTGACNCTCCTCACAACAAACAGCTGAATCTCCTCAGTTCATTTTTCCTGGCTGCCTTCCATTCATAAATTGTCTATATTCATTTCTTTGGGACCCTGGGGTTTATCATCGAGCTGGTCTTTTCTTTCACAATTGCCCACATAACTGAAATGAGCCTTTTTATAGGGAGACTGGTTTTTAAACTGAGAGCTCTCTGATGGATTTTAGAAGATGTAGTTCCCCAAAACCTGTAGAACTGGATTTCTCTTCCTGCCAAGACCCTAGTTGATGGATGACACTCTTCAAAGAGAGGCCAAGGGACGTTCCACAAAATACATGTTTCCAGGTCCTGCCTAGATCAGTGGGATCTTAGAAGGGTAGGACCTGATGAGTTACATTTTTATCAAGTCCCTCAGGCATGTGTGGGCACACTGAACCATGGGTCTCAGGTGAAAAGGAAACAAGTGATCAAAGTTCAAGTGAACTTGGCGAAGGTAGGTGGAGCAAACCGGGCAGGCACCTGCCTCGCTCAGGACATGACTGGAGGACAGTGACTATCCTGTCCTGTGCCTGGAACACCAACAGTGTTTAACACATGCAAGTTAGGGTGCCAGGACTTGCTCTGCTGAACAGTCAAGCTATATTTAGTTTAGAGTAGACCAGGGTCTGTAAGCTATGGCTGCTGCTGAGCCCTAGCCACCTGGGTTTGTAAATAAACTTTTTTTTTTTAAAGATTTTTATTGGGGCATTAGAGATGGGAATAGCGCTGGAGAATTGGGGGAAGGGGAACAGACAAGTTGCTGTCCTTTTTGTTCTTCAGTCTAGTTGTGGAGGACGTTGCTTCACTGGCCCAAGTTGNCACACACACACACACACACACACACACACACACACACACACACACGCATGCTCAGTTCCCGAGGGCAGAAGAATGAATGTGACAGCCTGGGAGCACAGTCACCCCATAACATGGAGGTAGTTCTGGATGGTGTTATGAGGGTTGAAAGGGCAGGGAGCCCCCCCAACCCCACCCACCACCCCCAGCATGAGTTAGGAGGCAAAGGAGAATGCCAGCTGGCTACATGGGGGCCGGCCCCATGCTGCTGCTTCTAAACCACAGTGGTGGTGGCTTGGTAAGAACACAGGTGACCCTCCACATGCAGGGCTTCTGGGGTGCTGGCTCACTGGAGAGCCTGTCTGGTCCCGAGGCCCTGCCTACAGGCGCGGAGCACAAAGGCTGAGGCCTTTTAGCAGGATGAACAATAAGACCATGGCAGGTGGGAGTGGCTGCTTTCTAAACGGAAACTAGAGGGCTTAAATTTCCATTTTAGCAAGTCCCCTGCTGCTACTGCCACCACAGGAATCACTGATTGAGGCAAGCTATCAACCAACACCAAAACCCTGGTGGAAAAGTCCTTGAGAAACAAGATATTCACAGTCTCACAGCATGGCCCCAGAGTGACTTTTTAATTATAAACAGGGCAGGATAGCTTTAAAATGGAGATCTGCTGGGCATATTATCCAAGTGACCGGGGATGATATCACCACCAGCGAGGCCACAGCCATGGTGTGCCCCGACACAGTGCACAGTGCACATATGCAAGGACATGCATTGCCGATGCAAGGTTTACCCTGAGCCTAACCACGAGAGGTCTAACTGTGAGAGGTCAATCGGGCAAACCCAGCTGAGGGAGGCCAGGATGCTCCAAAACCGTCAGTGTCAAAAGCTCCAAAACAAAACAAACAAAAAAGCTCCAAAATATCCAGGAAACTACACTAAATGAGACTTTGGAGGAAACCAACAGGATACAGTGAGAGAGGACGGTGGCAGGGGGGTTTCATCAGATGCTCCTTAACAGAAGGGAATCCCCTGATATATGGAGGTGCAGGGGAGAGAAGGAAAGGAGAGAGGGACAGAGAGACAGAGAAGACAGAGACAGAGACAAAGACAGAGTTAGAGAGACAGAAGCAAAAAGAGCATCCACTGGGGTCAGTGGCTCTGTGCTGACCGGCCCAGTGAGTGTGTAACTGAGAATTAGGCGAGGATGGGGTGTGAGTTTGCTGTCCTGTCACACAGGATTTGGATTATTTATCACCTCATAATTCTCAGTTTAAAGACACTCTTGGTTCTTACAAAATGTCCCCTAGGTCCACTCCTCCAGGTGGCCCTTGGCACCGCAGGAAACCTGGCTGTGCAGGTCTTACCGAGAGGTGTGTGAGGCCCCGGTGCTGTCGTCTGCTCTCTAGTCCTTTACAGAAAAATTGGCTGACCCCTGGACCTACCCCATCTAAGGTTGGGCTCACTCTCGGATCTCAAGCCCTCTGCTGCCCTCTTATAGATGCCCTCCTGCCACACCAGCCTCCTTGCCATGCCCTCTCTCAGGCCTTCACACTCTCTGTGCCTTGGAGGATCTCCCCGTGAGGTGCACTGTGTTCAGGTTTCTCTCCAAAAGGGAGCCTCTATGGCCTGGACCCCTTTATCCACTCTCCTTTTCCTGACATGGAAATTTGACACTTCTCCCTCTCTGATCCTCCCTCCTCCCACTCCCAGGCTCTGTCTGCCTCCCTGCCTCCCTACACCCCAATCCCTCCTGTGTGGCTCCCACCCACCTAGAATGTAAGCTCCAAGCCACTGTCTTGCTCACTGCTGTATCCCCAGGCCCAGAACACCTGGCCAGGTAAAAGCCCACCTGAGCTTTGTTACTCGGGGCTACATGCATGCATGAGCTTGGATCTCTCAGTCCATCACCCTGTTTCCTTGGGCAGGATCCCCTGACTTCATGCCAGAAGCCTACCCAGCTGTGTCCCCTAAATACCTCACCAAAGCCCCCTTTGCCTTCGCATTTCATTTCTCTGCCTTTCCTCCCCTCTTTGCTTTAAACAGAAAAGTACAGAACCAAAGCCTATGTTTAGAACGTTGAATTGATTCAATAAAATTTCTTGCGAAATGTCCTCCCAACAGGGTGCCCTTCTTTTCTTGTTTTTGGCTTCTGTCTCCTGCTTGGCTACATGTTTTAGAGCTGGTGGTCATTGTAAGCAGCCCCCCTGTGTTGTGAGCACGGCCCAGGGTGGACTTTGGCCTCCGTGTTGGCAGACCTGTCCCTCAGCAGCCCAGTGGGAATGGCGGGCTGTGTCCAGCTGCTGCTGATCCTCCTGGCCCTTCAGAGCGCCGAGCCCTCAGGTAGGCATTTGCTTCTTAACCATGTCCCTTTTGACAGTGTGGGTTTGGCCAAGTGGGTGTTTCCTAGGGTAGAGGAGGCCCTGAGTGACCAGCCTAGTCTTAACTCAGCCCCCTAAAGAGCCCTCCTGGTCTCTTTATCATTCATGACAAATATGTTGGCAATGTCCAGGAAGAATTAGGCATGTGAGAAACTGAGTGAGTAGCTCAGGATGGAGGGGCCCAGGACTGGGCAGGCTGACAGGCTGACCTCGGGGTGGGGGGGTGGCACAGCCTCGCAGCAGCTTCTCTGGGGGAAACAGAAGCCGCACCCCATCCCCTCCACAACCCTCCACCACCAACTATAAAGCTGTGAATCAAACGGCCTGGTTACCTGTGGCCCAGGGATCCCCAGACCCCATGGCGACTGCACTTTTACCTAAGACAGACCTGGTAAGGAGGCTCCCTGACTCTCTGCTCCAACACGAGGCAGCTGGAAGATTGGGGAGAGTTTGTGTCTTTATGTCCCTGTGGCAGTCAGCTCAGGAAGTAAGAGCCCAGCCATTACTCTCTGGGAGAAAAGGCTCCAACAGCCACTTCAGCAAGTTAACTCGTTTGACTTTCTCCTTTTGAAGGAATTATGAGGCCTGTCACCGTTTTAAAATGTCTTCATTTCATATTTATCAAGACATTAATTATTGTATGTGGAGGCACTCGGTCTCTAGACCTTGGAAGCCTTGTCGTGGGTCCATCTGTCACTGTCCTCCTTAACATTCCTTCCCATTCTGACCCAAACTGGGGCCATGCCCTCCCTTCCTTTGCTCTCCCAGCCTTGTAAATGCAGCTTCATTTCCCCGGTAGCTTCAGTCAGACGGAGTCAATCACCCTCCCGGCCCTCAGCGGCCTCCCAGCCCCTCCTGCCTAGCACATTGGCCACTGCCAGCCACCATCAGAGCCCTAGAAGCAGAGGGCAGGTCCGAGGTAAGACTGCTGTGAGTTCAAAACACACTGGATTGCAAAGGTTTAGCACAAAATAAGAATGTAAACTGGAATTCATAGTTTTTAACAGCGATTGTATATTAAAATAATACTTTGGATCTATTGGGTTAAATAAGTATATGACTAAAATTATTTTAACCTCTTGGTGTTGATGTTTTAAATGTGGTGCTGGGACACTTTCCTGACACCTGGGGCTTTCACGCAGTCCCCTTGGGCAGCACAGCCCAGCCCAGCCCAGCCTCCAACTGGCCCACAGCATCTCGCCCGTCCTTACCCAACTGCACACGCTACACAGCAAATAGCATGGTTTGGAAACACTAAGCCGGTCATATTCCTCTTCCAGTTAAAACATTTAGAATAAAATCCAAAACTCTTAACATGTTGTGCTAATTAGAGTTCAGTTTGTCTGTGAGTAGGAGAGACCCACAAGTAACATTATATAGTTTACAACACTGTATATAACCTTATACACCATAAAACAATCACAGTAGCTGAAACAAAATGAGGATTTGTGAAATTTCAGTTCTAGAAGGGCTGTGGATCAGATACCCAGAAAACCCCTCCTGATAAAAACTGAACGTAGACTAAATGTTTTATGTCATTTTAAATATGTGCATCACTGGACTGACACAAAGGGAAGAAATCCACAGAAGTCAAAGAATAAAAGAAAAGAAAAGCGAGCATGAACTGAACTGTCACCCTCAGATTTCTGCTGGAACCTGGAACCTCATAGCCCTGGGAGACCCATCAGCCCAGTAGACAGTCCTCGGCCCTCCACACAGAGGAACGAGAAACAAATTCACCGACTGGATATTGGCACTGGGTACAGAAAGAAAAACACCTCCCAAGAATCAGTCGCTACGGTTTGGCCCAATGGTCTGGAAACCCCAGCAATCTGGTGTCACGTCGACCTGGATGGGAAGTACCCGCCTTGAGAAAGGAAGGCAGAGATACTCTCTGGAGAAATCCACTTTCATTCTGGGCCCCAGGTAATTCCAACCCCTAACGTTCTGAAGAAAACGGGCCATTCATAGTAAAAGAAAAACATCCCCAAACACACAAAGAAACAAGACAACCGTGAACCTGCAGGGAAAGGAATAGAAGCAGGCCTCAATGTTCAGACACAGACCACAAAATAAAAAAACATGCAATAAAAATATGAGAAGAAAATGAGAGATACTAAAATGTTCAAACACATGTGAAAAGGAACCAAATAGAACTTCTGAAATGGAAAATACATTAATTCAAATTTTTAACCCAGTTAAATTCATAAAAAGAGGGAGAAGGAAAAGTTCTCTTCACAACAGAATGCCAATTAGTAAATGCGGAAGAAATGAGAGCTATATAATCACTAGTTTGCCATTATAATGGTAATAACTGATTCAGGAAAAACAACCAAGGATGCTGAAACCGTTCAGTTAACGACTAGTGGGTAACAGGACACTCACAGTCCCAAAGTATCTCTCGTACAGTGGAGAAATCTGTGGGTACCATCTGTATAGTGTCCTCCAAACTTTATGTTCACCCAGAGCCTCAGAATATGACCTTATTTGGAAATAGGGTCATTGCAGATGTAATCAGTTAAGAAGAGACCATCCTCAATTAGGATGGGAACTAAATCCAATGACTGGTGTCCTTACAAGGAGGCTCACCATTCAGTCCTCCGTGATGTGACCTTCATCCTCATATTCAGAATGGCGCTTAGAGCTCCAGCCATCACCTATGTCCCAGGCAGCAGAATGGAGGGAGGGACAAAGCAATGGCCACACCAGTTGTCTTTCAAGAAGATTTCCAGGCAGCTAGAAATTGGGGCCTCTTCTTCTATGCCAGAGATTGACGACTGGGGACAGCCCCTCTCGAACCCTACTTCCACCCCCTTTCATCTCCATGGTCCAGGTCTACGATGCTGTTCCCTGCCTTCCTCTCGCAGAACAGGCCTCTGCCTTGGTCTAAAATGTGCTCCACTTCCCACCCTTCCCCACTCCTAAGCTAATTCTTACTCACCCTTCAAATCTCAGTGGAAAAGCCCCATCCTCAGGGATGCCATCCCTGACCCTGCAGCCTGTGACATTCTGGCAGTGGTCCTCCTGGTGGCCCATGTTGTCTTTGCAGCTCTCTGACTTTTCACAGGTCCACACTGCACTGCTCCTAATCTCTGCTCATTATGTGTATGATGATTTGTTAAATGCCTGTCCCCAGTGAGGTCCTAGCACTGTACAGGCCAGGACTGGTCTGTCTGGTTTTCTGCTGAATTCTAAGCACTGGCCCCTGCTGGCCTGCAGAAGCTGCTCAGTAGATACCTGCTGGGTGAGTTGAGCCTACCTTTCTAGCTTCACATCCCACCATGCTTTCCCACTCCCTCCCCATGCACCCATGTTGCTTTATGGCAGAGACCAAGACTGTCTTTGCACATCTATCTTCAACCCCCATGGTGCAGGCAATGCACCTGCTCAACAGGGCTGCATCTCCAAGCCTCCACAGCCATGTCACCATCACCCATGGAATGTGAATGGGGGTCCTGTGTGCCACTTTCAGGCACGTCCCCCAGACTTTCCCACCTGTAGGCTGACTGCACTTGGTGCCCGGGGATGAGCGGCCACAGCGAAGAAGGCTGGGACTGTCATTGTGTGACAGTTACCCAGCAGGAAGTAACATTCTGTGTCTGAATGGCTATGTATTGGGTCTACTCATTACAACACATTAGCCACTCTAACTTTACAATCCCTGCCTTTGGCATAATGTTCCTTCCTCTCCAGGAATTCTTCCTGTCAAAAGTCGGCTTGCTTTTCAATGCCCATGTCGAGAGGCAGTGGTTCCGTGAGGCCTTATCAACCCTCCTTCTTGCCCTGGGCAGAATTTATCCCTTTATTTGAATACTATTAAAGCTTTTAATATGTGATATTGTGATCGTTGTTAATGTGTCTGTCCAGGACAAAATCATAAAACATGTGAGGATGGAGTCTGAGACTTGCATTTTTGTAATATCAAGCCTGGTACACACCAGGTGCCAAATACAGTCTAAGTGAAAGAAGAAACTAATGGCCTGTTCCAGGTTAATATTCACACCAAACCAACCATGGGGAATTGATGAGGTCTGGCCTCTCTGAGCCCTGGGTCATCTCGCCATGAAATGTTAGTGTCTGCCCCTAATTCATCAGGGTGTCCATGCACTCTACAAAAATAAAATGCGCTCTTACCACGTGTGTGAACAAGGGTGGGTGGCCCTGCAGACACCATGGTGAGCAGATCCTGGAGGGCTGGGTCTGGTGAGGAGAGGAAAAGTGGTGGCCAGGCCACAGGCAGATGTCAGGTAGCCACAGCACCGTGTACCTGGACCCCCAGGAAGGTGGTATCGAAATTCTTAGGTAAGTCCATCCATGTTGACGGTGTCTACATTCTTATCTTCCTCTGTAGCGTTTCTTTCTGCCTCAAAAGCAAATGAAGTTCTGGTAAGATGGAAGCGTGCTAAGTCCTATCTTTTGGAAGAGTTCTTTGAAGGAAATTTGGAAAAAGAATGTTATGAAGAAATTTGTGTCTATGAAGAAGCAAGAGAAGTATTTGAAAATGACGTGACCGCTGTATGTAGCCCCAAAGTGAACTTACACACTTTCTTATTCACATTTCTGCTGCCTTAAAGAGCATAATTCCTCAAGGAGATGAAGCTAAATGAATAACCTGTTTACTTACCTGTGAAGTTGACTTAATTCTAATTTTACAGACAAGGAAACAGAGACAGAGAAGTAAAATAACTTTCCACATCTAGTACATGGGAGACCCAGATGCTAACTCAGTCCCACACACCTAAACGCTTTCTCTAGATTAAGCAAATTAGCACATTGATTACATTTACTTATCACAAACATCACTCAGTTTGTCATGACTCTGACAGAATTTGACGTTTTTAAAAGAGGCCTAATTTTTTAATACGTCAACCAATTTTTAAGTAACAAAAATCCTCTCTAGGGTGCCTACATAATAAGAAAGGCTCTCATAATCTATAATTTGGATTAAGTAATAATCTATCATTTGGATTAAAAGCAACTATATGTATACTCTAAACAGTAGAGGCAAACCATTCTTACTCATTAGCTTATCAGAAGAGAGAGAAGCAAGTCAAACCTGAGAGGCTGAATATTTGTGTGTAAATATTTTAGAATAGGAAAATATTTAATAAAGATTTCTTAGTTTTACATATACAAGTAGCAATATTTAAGGTGGATTCTTAGTAGAACACTGATTAGTTTCTCTTATACCTTTTAAAACTATTTTTTAAATCATAATTTCTTAAATGCTCATATATGAGAACGCCTCTGAAATAGACCATCTTCAGTAAAACTATGAGAAACCCAAACTTCCTGGTAAAGGAAAAATTGTGTTCTTAGTTTGTGTTGGTGACATCATTCAGCGTGTTACAAGTCCGAGTATGACTGGGGAGCTACAATTACTTACATGTTTACTTTCTAAGCTTTACTTCTGAGTACTTCTCCTAAATTTAGATACTTCTACCCAAACTAACCTCTCCCTCACACATACACACTTTTCATTTCTTAATCATTGTGTAATTGGCTTCTACATCAAGCACTCTGTAGAGGAAGGACTTGATGGCTGTGCCCCTGTAGGTGGGGAAGGGCGGCCTCAGGAAGCCGTGGTTACGGATTTTGTACCACATTGTAGACTATTATGTTCCCTTCCTCAAGTAGGTTAAGTAGGTTAAAAATGCAAGCCTCAGTAAATACATATTGAAAAGAATATGTTCCATATATTTGAAATAGGATATTAAGTAAAGAATTTTGCTTTTTTTTTTGTTTCAGCTAGTATTTTTCTATTAAATGGATAAAAGTAACATTTTCTCACCTTTAAGACAGATAACCTGTTTTACAGTACTTTTATCTTTTCATTTTACAGGATGAATTCTGGAAAAACTATATGGGTACGTGGTTTTTCTCATCTGTCTCCAGGATTATTTCCTCTTCTTTTTCCTTGAGATGAGGTAAGGCACTTGGCTCAAGATAGCCAGTGGATTCCAGCTTTCAAACGTTTGACTCCTGGACCCCTGACCCAATGGAAGGGCCTGGCACTCCCCGAGGACAAGGACAAGGGTGGGAAAGTCCTCGAGGTTCCCTGGGATCAGGATGAAGCTCCTGTGGGTCTTAGGTGGCAGAGGGTGGAGGGTCCCCCAACCTGAGTGGCTCTTCTTATCTAAGTGGCCCTGAGGTTTCCTTAGGGCCTCATACTGAAGGGTCAGGACCCAGTTAAACTGAGGAAGGCAATTACCCCTCCCAGGCTTGTGGGCATGCTGCAGGAGGAGTTCCCCTTCAGCCAGTGACAGTGGAAGGAGGAGGAATGTAAAGGCTGGTGGGACCCTGGGGGACATATGCAGGACACTTGGCAGCCCACTCCAGTCTCCTGGTGTCCTGGGCAGTGTGGGCAGGGAATGTCAGGAGAGCCCAGGTGATGCCACCTATACAAGGGTTTTACATCCCTCTCTGCAGGTGGCTCCCCGTGTGTCTCCCAGCCCTGCCTCAACAACGGGTCATGCCACGACAACATCCGCAGCTACACCTGCACCTGCTCCTCGGGCTATGAGGGCAGGGACTGTGCCTTTGGTAAGCCCCCACCTGCCCCGACCCACCCACCCTGACCCAATGGCACAGAGATGGGCTATTGGGGTGAGCAAAAGGGTGCCTGTGAGAACCCAGTTCCAACCGAATTCTCCACTGGAAATCACATTCTGTGAACAGACCTCCTGCCTCCCAAACGTGCCTCCCTACAGTTTCCATGGATTAGAGTCCCCTCCTCTTCCTTCCAAATCCACCACCCCATCCCACTTAAACCATTTACAATCTACTCTTGGGAATTCCTGGAACCTGACAGATCCCAAGCAGGGGTGATAGGATCTGGAGGGTCAGTCTATGAGAAGGCATCACCCACAGGATGGCTCAGAGGTAGGCATGGGTTTAAGACACTCCCTGCAGCTGAGGCTTACAGCTGCATGAACTCATATTCCTTAAATACAAATAAATTAAATGCAAAATTTATTTGTGGGGGTGGGGAGAAACCAATTTCCTATTAATGATGATCAGATATGGAAATAAATTCACTTAATCCTTTCAATAACTCTGGTCAATTTTCTGGGGAAAAATATTATTTACAGCCCAGATCTCTCCTCTGAAGTCCAGCCTTCTACTCCAACTGCCTCCTTGAAAGCCCCACATAATGCTTTGCAGACATTCCAAATTTAACACGGGCCAAAGCAAGGTTTTCATCTTTACCCCATCCATGTCCCTTACCCCCATCCCAGATGCCCAACCACCAGCATAGGTCACGCTAGACTCCTTCCACCCCACATCCACACCTCAAAGAGCCATGTAAAGAGTGTAGGTATTGTACCAGGAAGTAAAAGATGACTATGAGAGAGCACATACAGCTAGGAAAATGGACAGATATCTTTGCAACATGAATGCAGATACTTCCATGACCAAATTACATTTCTTGATAACAAATAAAGGGCTGCCACTCACTGAACCTTTGACTTCTCCATGCACATTCCTGAATACAGGATACTTATATGAAGAGTCAAAAATTTGAAAAGAATAAGAACAATTGGACTGAAAAGCCAGAACCCAAAGCGCAAGGAGATTAAAAATTACTGTTTCCATATTAGCATTCCTGGTTTTCCTTTCCAGCTAAAAATGAATGTCACCCATTGAGGACTGATGGGTGTCAACACTTTTGCCAGCCGGGACAGGCATCCTACATGTGCAGCTGTGCAAAAGGGTATAAGCTGGGCCAGGACCACAAATCGTGCATCCCAGGTGGTGAGTTCTCGGTCAAATGAGAAATGAGAAAAGGTGGTCTCTCCTCCTACCCTGTGGGCTCCCACCCACATCGCCCCTCGTTCTCCCACAATAACGTTTGGAAGGCCACCTCTTCTATTTAAGATGAGGAGTTGTGGTTCTCCCCTCCAGGCTGGAGCCTGCCTGGGTCATAGCAGTGGCTTGGCTAACCCACAAGCACCGATAGCAGGTGATTTTCATTTCACTCTGCTCTATGTCTACATGAGTTATCTCAAAATAATAGGCATTAAGGAATCAGATTCAAGTAGTTAGCACCATGGATAAAGCCCAATGTTTGACTTGGAAGGCCCTGACTTTGCTTCTCATGTTGTCCCCACAAATGAAGAGAAGTGTGCGTGTGGAATCCTGAATCCAGAATGCATCGCAGCAACACAGAACAGCAAACAGAACCTTCAAATATTCCCATGGCAGGTAACAGAAATATTTTATAAACATGTTTTCATTTTTGTTACAAATCTCACCCTATTTGTCATTTCCACCTTCTTTGCAAACCAAATAGAAACGTAATGACTAAGCGAAAGAGGCATCATGATTTAGGTGAACTATTTACTAATCTCCACATCATGCTTGAAAGCACTTTCTAAGGCTGAATTCACAACTTCAGCTGTTTTCATTCTTTGCACCAAATAAAAGCATATACGTAGTTTTATTTACAGCCACCCAGGGACTTTCTTATAGAGTTCAAAAACTGTCCCTAATGTCATTTCTCTCAGAGCGTAAGCATCCTGAAGGTGTACTTGGGGGGATGAGTTAATATGGGGTCCAACGAGCGGCCCCGGGGAAGGCAGAAGGCGAGTTAAGGACACAGGCAGGCTCCACTCCCCAGCCACCTGGCTGCAACTCCAGCTGCATTATTGGATGCAGGGCCTTTCTCTCCTTTGGCATCCATTTTTGTTATTTTCCGGTTTTCCCCCTTGGCTGGTTTGAAAGTTAAACATTCTATTTCTATTTAATGGTCACCCTTGACATTTAAATATTCATTTTTAACTTACCAATACATAAAGTTAGTAGTTTTACCCCCCTCCTAAATTATTTTGAGCACATCATGCAAGGCTCATCTATTTTGACTAGTATTTTATTCTCTCCTTGCGTTTTTAGTAGCACCACACAATAGGTTTTATTATTATGGCTTATACCACCAATGTGGGGCTGATTTTACTTACGGTTTCCATTTTCCTTCCATCTCAGGCCCCTAATGCAGATCATCTTCTGCCTGATATACATACAACCTTTACAACAGTCCTGTCAATAGAAATAGAATGTAAGCCACATACGTAACTGAAATTTCCTAGTAGTCACACTAATGAAAGTAAAACAGATGACATGAACTTTGATCATGTATTTTATAATATATGTTTAAATACTATTAGTTCAACATGTCACAAATATAAAAGCTTGTTGAGATATTTACTTTGTTTTTTTCATTATTAAATCTTTGATGTCTTGGGTATATTTTATATTTGGAGCATATCCAAATTTGGACCAGTCACATCTCAAATGCTTGGTAACAAGCATTTGTGACTACCTTACTGGACGGCAGAGCTTTAGAAGTTTCTTAGTGTGTTTTTTTTTT